CAGTGCATATTCAACATCTATTTCATCGGGGGAAGTAAGAATCAAACCAGCACCGCTGCCCTAGGCATTGGTAGCTCCATCTACTGAAAGTTTCCATGTGGGGAGGTCAAGTATCAACTATGTTGTCTCTGCAAGTATTCCAGTTGTGAATTCTGCAATGAAATCTGCTAATATTTGCCCTTAATGGTTGTTCTTGGCTTGTACCTGATATCAAACTCGCTGAGTTCAATGGTCAATTTAATCAGCCTCCGGAAGACTCTGGCTTATGTAGAACCTGCTTCATTGGCTGATTTGTTAGAACTTTCGATAGTATGAGCCTGAAAGTAGGGCCTAGCCTTCTAGCAGTCGCGACCAAAGCTAAAACGAGTTTTTCCATCTTTGGATACCTTTCTTCTGCTCCCCTCAGAGCTCTGCTATAGTAATAGACTGGTTGCTGAGCTCTGTTTTTCTCCCTTACTAGCGCTGCGCTGGTTGAAAAGTTTGAGACAGCTAAGTAAAGAGTAAGAACCTCTTATTCCAGCGGACTTACCAGAACATGAGGGGAGCTCAAGTAATCTTTCAATGCTTTGAATGTCTCTTCACACCGGGCATCCCATCGAAAAGCCTTCTTTAAAACCTGAAAGAAAGGCTGACACTTGTCGCTTGATCTGGACACGAAGTGACTCAAGGCAGCTATTTTCCCGGTTAATCATTATATTTCCCTTGTGCTGGATGGAGGCTGCATATCCAACACCGCCTTCACCTTCTCCAGGTTTTCCTCTATTCCTCTGCTATTAACTACGAAACCAAGAAATTTTCTTATAGATACCCCGAAGGCACATTTAGCAGGGTTGAGCTTCATTTTGTACTCCCTCAGAATCTGGAACGACTCGGCTAAATGTCCAATGTGGAGCTCTGCCTTCAGGGACTTAACCAACATGTCATCAATGTAGACCTCCATGGTAGTCCCAATCTGCTTTTGAAACATCCTATTCACCAGGCGCTGGTAAGTGGCTCAAGCATTTTTTAACCCAAAAGGCATCACCTGGTAGCAGTACGTCTCTTGCTCAGTTATGAAGGAGGTCTTCTCTTGGTCATTAGGATCCATCCTACTTTGATTGTACCCAGAGAAAGCGTTCATGAAGCTAAGGAGCTTGTGCCCTGCAGTGGCGTCCACAATCAAATATATCCGAGGTAATGGGTAACTGTCTTTAGGGCAGGCACGATTGAGATCTGTAAAGTCAATGCAGAGGCGTCATTTGCCATTTGTCTTCTTGACGAGGACCACGTTGGCTAGCCAAACTAGGTAGTCTACTTCCCGGATGGCTTTTGCATGGAGAAGCTTGCTGACGTCCTCATTGATGGCTTTTTGGCGTTCTGGAGCGAAACTCCTCCTCTTTTGCTTAGTGGGTTTATAGGTAGGATTCACGCTGAGCTTATGAGTGATGACGGAGGGATCAACTCCTTGCATGTCTTCTTGTTTCCAAGCAAAAACTTTCATGTTCCTTTTTTGGAACTGGATAAGGAGGTCATTAATCTCTCTGCTTAGCTTAGATCCTACGTAAACGAGGTGTTTTGGCTCCTTGTCTAATTAAACAGGTTCCAGCTCCTCCGATGGTGTTGTTCTAGCTTCTAGTTCATCTCTCATGTCAAGTTCATCCAGCTAGATGTTCTCAACTTCCCTCTTCATCACAGATGCCATATAGCACTCTCGTGCCACACACTGGTCTCCTTGGACCACTCCAACTCCATTTCAACTCCATTTTTTGTTGGAAACTTCACCATGAGATGTAAGCAGAAGGGATAGCCCTCATAGAGTTGAGTGAAGGCCTCCCAAGGAGTATGTGTGTACACAGTAGGTGTATCGACCACCAGGAACCTTACTGTTGTTGTGGTCTGGCAAAGGGGATCACCTAAGGTTAGGATAAGCTGGATTGATCCTAGGGGCAGCACCCTTTCTTTTAAAAACCCAAACAAGTGAGCACTTACTAGCTCAAGCTTTTCCCTTCATATATCCATCTTGTTCAAAAACGGAGGCGAAAATGATGTCTGCCGAGCTGCCATTGTCAATCAAAACCCGATGAACAGTCATGTTGGCTACCACAACTCTTACCACCAGAGGATCATCATAGGGATGTTGACAACCCTCCAAGTCTGAATCTGAGAAAGTGATAGATGTGTCTAGATGTGGAGCCTTAGATACAACATACACTTCAAGAGCTTCTCCGACTCTAATTCTTCACAGGTGAGCCTTTCTGGCTGAGCTAGATTCTCCTCCTCCAGCGAATCCTCCAACTATCACTCTGATCTCCCCCATAGGCTGCTGATGTGGTTCTGGTGCTTGCTACTGAGGTGGTGGAGGTGGGAGAGCTTGGTTTTGATTATCATTGGCCACAAAATAACGTAACTACCCCCACTTGATTAGGAACTCTATTTCCTTCTTTAATTGTATGCAATCGTCAGTATGATGGTCATGGTCTCTGTGGTAGTCACAATACTTTGTGGGGTCCCTCTTTGATGGATCTGCCTTCATCCGGGGCGACCATCTTAAGAACTTCTCATTTTGTACCTCATACAGGATTTGAGACACCATGGCAGTCAGAGAGGTGAACTGCCGAAGTGCATACCTCGGTTGTAGTTCTGGCTGTGGGGGGCCTAAGTGATCCTTAACATTTCCTCTTCTTTTCGAGGAGCAGTCTCTGTCTCTTCTTGGAGACCTATCTTGTTCTCTTTCTTTTCTAGGACTTCGATCCCTCTTGTTTTCTTCCTTTTCTTTCTCCTTTCATGATGAAGAGCTCCCCACCTTAGAGAAGAGCGTTTCCTCACCGTTTATATATTTTTCTGCTTTGGCCAGCACCTCTGTCATACTTGCCTTAGGATTCTTCGAGATAAAGAACATCAGGTCCTTTGATTGCACTCCAAGTCCTGCGATGAAAGCAGTGATGACAAACTTTTCGTCTGGGACGTCTACCTTCAGAGACTCTGAATTGAACCTCTGGACATAAGATCGAAGGTTCTCGTTAGGTCCTTGCTTCACATTCAACAAATGGTAGCTTGGCTTCCTATAGGTCCGAGTTCCAATGAAATGGGATACGAAAGAGATAGAGAGCTCTTTAAAGGAGGAAATCGAGGCTGGGGGAAGCCTATTGAACCATGCTAAGGCTGAGCCCTTCAAAGTGATGGCAAAGGTCCTATATCGCACTGGATCTTGGTATTCATGCAACTCCATCTGATTTTTATAGGTTTTAAGGTGGTCTACTAGATCTATTGTCTCATCAAAAGCTTCTATCTAAAGCATTCTGAATTTAGGAGGGAGGGAAAAGTGCAACACCCCAGCAGTGAATGGGGATTCGATTTGTTGCACCAATGCATCCATTGTTACTGGAGTCTTACCCCTCACTGCTCCCTTCATGAGGCTGAGCTCTTGTTGGATGTCCTTAAAGCATTGTTCCCAATATTGTTCCATCATTTCCTGTTGGAAAGAAAGAAAATTATTTTTCTCGATCCCATTATCTTGACTCTGTGCCTCTTCATTGTCACCAACCTTGGGGGGTGGATGAGGAGCCTGACTATTTTCACCTCCTTCTTTTGCTTCTCTGAGAGGGTTGAGGTGTTGCTGCCCCCTACAGGAGGGATCATTCTGTCCTTGCTGAGCCGGTTGTGCTTGCTAAGGACCTTGTAAAAGCTTCAGGAGGTCTTCATTTTGCCAAAGTAAGCGTTGGTTGACCTGACGGAGGGCTTCCAGTTCATTGTTTGTTGAACAATCTGCTATAGGAGGATTGTCCTTGGCTGTGGGCACGAAGTCATGAAAATTTTCTTACTGATTCTACATCCTTGGGGGATTCGTCTGGCTTTTGCTCATATTACACGTGGAAACCATCAATTACTGAAAGATCAGTGTAATTGAAACAGAAACAGTCGTTCCCACAAACGGCGCCAAACTGATGGTGTATGACCACGTTGATGAGCAAAAAGTGCAGGTGCTTGTGTATGATGCTGATGCGAAATACTAAGGGGATTAAAGGGGTGCACACAATGAAAATATAGTGGTTCAACGGCCTAGGAGCTCGGCTAGTCCACTCTTCAATGGAGGCTCTTGCTCCCTTTCCTCTATTCACTGCTCAAAATGCATTACAATACGTTATATCTCGAAATTAGGATTTTTTATTCCTACCTCTCTATGGAGGCGTTACATAGTATTTATAGGACTATTCCCTGTTCTATAGGATCTCAGCCGAGGTCTTCGCCTGTCATTAGTGAGATTCTCCTTGATTTTAGGAGAGGATCTTGGTTGGTTGAGAGTTTCATATTTTGAACCCAATTCTCACAGTTATCCAGCTGTTCCCCGGTCAGTTCCGCTACCATCTCCCCGGGAGAGCTCTAGCTCTAGACTTTTGAGCTCCTCGTATCCTACCTAATCTCCTAACCTGACCTCATTTCCTAAACTCGCTCTTATAATTTATTTGAGGGATAATCATATTCTAACAAATTCATTATTATAATTCATTAAAAATAATATTAAATTAATCAAAAGAATTATAAATTTCTAGTACAATTATGAAAATAATTTTTTATTGACTATCACTCCACCAACGGTATAACGATCTCCTAGAATCTCGTGGCGCACACTCGAAACTAATTTTTAAAATCTGCTTTTAACCCTCGCGGGAATTACTCTACGGAAGGCATATAGTCTCCCTCCCAGTCAAGCAAAGACCATACCTCTGTTTCCTTTAAGTCAACCCTTATCCACTCTCTCTCTTCTATTCTAATCCGGAAAATCCTACTGCTTCAAACACGCAAAATTTTTAAAAATCACTTGGTCTCTGTGGCTTGTTTCAAAACACCAATCATAGCTCCTGTGAATTCGACTCTGGACTTCGCTGGATTATCTCTCTCTCAGCATTCACTTTCCGCGAAAAATCTGCTCTGATTAACCAACGAATTTTCTAATTTAAACTTGACGACAGAGACGATTCACGTGGAAGACGAGGCGAATTGGAAAACTTTATCGGATTTTGCGCTTGATGGAATCCCATTGAAAATGTTACTTTTATCTTGTTGAGTACTCGTACTATTAGTATTTATATAATGAGCTTGGACTACTTGACTACTACAACATCAATGGCTATTCGAGTGTGTTTATTGATTTTGGTTTTGAGCATATTGATCGCAGAATCGAAGTATATGGTTTACGATACTTCGCAAGGCATTGTTTCCGGGAAGCTCAATGTTCATTTGGTACCTCACTCTCATGATGATGTTGGTTGGTTGAAGACTATTGATCAGTACTATGTGGGTTCCAATAACACTATTCAGGTCCTCTCTCTCTCTCTCTCTCTCTCCCCCCCCCCCCCCCCATATAATGGCATTCATGGAATTTTGAGTTGTTATTATGTTCAATTACTATGCAGGGAGCATGTGTTCAAAATGTATTGGATTCGTTGATTCCAGCATTACTGGCAGATAAAAACCGGAAATTTATATATGTTGAACAGGCAACAGTCTATTTCCTTCCTACTTACATTTGTATCAGTGATATAAACATAAGAGAGAATACGAGAATTGAAATGTGTATTGATGTATGAGCTTTTCGTTGATTGTTCAGGCGTTTTTCCAGCGTTGGTGGAGAGACCAGAGCGAGGCAATGCAGAACACAGTCAAGCAGCTCGTCAGCTTGGGTCAACTCGAGTTCATGTATTTAATGACCATACACTCATTTTATGTTATCATTAAAACTCAAATCAGTATCTGCTATAGATTGGTAAATGTACTCTATGGAAAATTGAGGTCAGTTGTCATGTCAAAGTAGTCCTGATTGAGCATGTCCCGAAAGCATTTGTGGGCTGTTTTTGTAAAAGATTATTGATGATTTGTATTTGGATCCAGAAATGGGGGCATGTGCATGCACGATGAAGCTACCGCACATTACATTGATATGATTGATCAGACAACACTTGGGCACCGATTTATCAAAGAGGAGTTCAATGTAACTCCAAGAATTGGTTGGCAAATTGACCCCTTTGGACATTCTGCCGTGCAGGCTTATCTGTTGGGTGCCGAGGTATGGCCTCTCTCTAGTTTAGTCCTCAACACGTCCACTGATTTATAGTCCACGCTGTTAAGCAGCCGCTCAGTATTGTTGGCTCATGACCAAATGATTGTGTGGAAGGAAGACTAGTTCATACAAACACAAACAAATGTTCATTAACCACAGGGTGCCACTTTACTTACTTGTCTGCAAGTTAATTGAGCTCAAGTTCTTTTGTTTTAGGTTGGATTTGACTCCTTCTTCTATGGGCGAATTGACTACCAAGACAGAGCTAAGCGGAAAGACAAGAAGAGCCTTGAGGTTGTCTGGCGGGGTTCTAAGAGTTTTGGTTCATCTGCACAGGTACTTTCAGAGTGGGGAATTGATGCTACATTTAAAAAAATTTCAATGGGTGTTTAATACTTATCACATGTTTATTCATTCTTAGCAGATTTTTTCTGGAGCATTCCCTGAGAATTATGAACCTCCAAGTGGTTTTTACTTTGAAGTCAATGATGATAATGGTGGTTCTCCAGTTGTCCAGGTAAATCTTCGAAAAGAAACATGGATAGATGATTGAACATTCAATTGGGCACATACTGATATTACATATTTTTAATGAACTGAAGGATAACATCAACTTGTTTGATTACAATGTCCAAGAGCGTGTCAATGATTTTGTAGCTGCTGCTTTATCACAGGTACTTCTACATAGCAAAACATGCACAGTAATTCAGTTTCATCTTGTGAATGGATTGTTTGCTATCAAATACTCCCCACTTCTACAGTTTTAGAATAGAACTGAAGCATTTGTTGGTGGTCTCTGTTTGTTTTTTCATTTCATGTATGAAAGAAAAATCTACACTAAACACACCTTCTTCTGTATAAATGGAAGCATAATAGCTAGAGTGCTATTCTCCATAATCGAAATATGGTTTATTTTTAGGGAAAATCCATTTTTAGGCCATCTGGTTTAGCTATGTTGTAGTTCACTCCCTTCTAGTTTAAATATAACCACACTGGTTTTGGACTATAATGTAAAATTTTTGCTCTTAGCTACTCTATCAAAATGACCTTATCACCCTCATTTGTTCTTCTTCTTCCCCCTGCTCCTTTTATCTGATTGTCATAATTTTCGATTAACAAATCTGAATAAAAATATGCATCTGCATGGATGCGACAACAATAGTATGAAGACCTAAATTGCAACTTCAGATCTCGGCCCACAACCCGAAATCTCCCTATCAACTAGGTACTACAAGTACAAACACCATTTGATCTCACCTAAGCACCAACGGACTACACTGACTAGATTCTGTGTCAGATCAGCAAGCTCATTCATTATGCTTTGGGAAGCCAACAACCTGAAATCTCCCTGTGTACTAGGTACTACAAACACCATTTGATCTCACCTAAGCAGCAACGGACTACACTGACTAGATTCTGTGTCAGATCAGCAAGCTCACTCATTATGCTTTGGGAAGCCGATATGAAAAGAAAGAAGAATTCCTTGAAATGTTATCCTTCTCATAAGACTTGCCTTAGGAGGAGAAGAACCAGAGACCATCATCAACCTAATAACATTAACGTATTCACCTCTAGCTGCATGATGAAGAAGCTACAGAAAGCCCCATAATATATGTGAAAATGGTGCTCAGGAACAACTAATAATGGCCTCTCCAGGCTGCCAGCGGGGTGCCGACATGGAGCCCAGGAGAAGGGGTTTGGGGTTTAAGGGGAATGAATCGAACTCCAGGGGATGTGGGGTGGATTTGTTTTAAGATCATTTAAAAGGGGAAAGGGGGTGGGGTTTGGACACTGAAGGAGGGGGGAAGCACAGTTGACAGAAGGAGTGCAGATATGAAAAATGAGGAAGTGAGGGTATTTGTGTCTTTACTTATGATTACAAGGGCATATTTGTATTTATAATTGAGATATGACTTTGAGTCAAAAATTTCATGTTGAAAACTGTCAAATTAGGCTTGCATGTCATAATTTCCACCATTTTGGACAGAATTTGTAACAGTAGCACTTCACCTAAAATTAAACTTGATGGAATGAAATATAGGAGTATGATCTTAAGATATTGACTGCCTTGTATGAGATGTAACAAACAGTCTTCCTTCAATGACATTTAACTTTTGTGGGCCTGAAATAGCATTCTCATGAAAACATTCCATCTGCAACAATATCTCTAAATCTGTTGACGCTTACCATCAATTTGTGTTTTTTCTTTCAGGCTAATATTACACGCACAAATCATATAATGTGGACGATGGGGACAGATTTCAAGTACCAATATGCTCAAACATGGTTCCGAAATCTGGACAAGCTGGTTCATTATGTGAATCAAGTTGGTTTTCCTTTATATTCATTTAGTGGTTTCTTATGTATACCTGAACTGGATCATTCTTATTCTCGCAGTCCATGCTTCTAACCAATCATATGAGTGTTATGATACAGTTTAAGTACTGACCATTTTCCTGATATAACATTTTAAAATGTGTTGGTATGCAAATGGCGACAAGCCACGTGCTGTCCTGCCTAGTAGACATGGGGAATTAAATTGCAAATGAACTAATAATTGAACTATTGTGCAACTAACATTCCTTGTATAATTGGCTGCTTTCCTTCCCTGAGTTTGCACTCTATCATCATTTCACTTCACGCAGTCTTGTCTTCCTTCTTTGTGATCATATTATAATACTTCCAAGCATTTTCCTATTAATCTACTCACTATGATATGTGTGCTTGTAGGATGGACGTGTCAATGCTCTATATTCAACCCCATCTTTATACACTGATGCAAAATATGCAACAAACGAGTCATGGCCACTCAAAACTGATGACTTCTTCCCGTGAGTTTTGAATTTAATCTGGATTTGTTATAGCTTCAGCAGTTCTCACTTGACCTGTATTTACATTTGAGGAATGCATTACCAGATACGCAGACCGTGTTAATGCTTACTGGACAGGATATTTTACAAGTAGGCCTGCCCTAAAAGGCTATGTGAGAATGATAAGTGGATACTATCTGGTAGGTCGTGCTACGTTTTTGGTTTACTTAACTATGCTAGCATTGGTAGCAAAACATTGGATTTGTGATTCTAATTAGACATCAATACTTGGTTAGGCAGCAAGGCAATTGGAATTTTTTAATGGAAGGGGAAAAACAGGGCCTGTCATGGACAGTTTACCTGATGCTTTGGCAGTTGTTCAGCATCATGATGCAGTTAGTGGTACTGAACAGCAGCATGTGGCTGATGATTATGCAAAAAGGCTGTCAATAGGCTACAAGGAGGTGAAAACATGCTCTGAAATATTTTACTTGCGGTTGCTGTGCTTTCGTTGAAGATAATTCACAGTAATTTTATATTGCTTGCAGTCAGAGGATTTAGTTGCAGCTTCGCTCGCTTGTATGGTAGAATCAACATCAAAATCTAGATGCGTAAGCCCAGTGACCAAGTTTCAACAGGTTAAAAATGATGACCTTTTAATGCTAAAATATAAGGGTGTTTTAACTTTCTACCTGAAATAGCCGCCAAAACTATATATTTTTCAGGTTGTGTAGAAAACTTCCAACAAATATCTGACTTTTTGTGACACTCCCAAAATCTGGGTGACTGTAATTATCCGATTGATCACTCATCGACCCGCGGAATACTTATGGATACCGTGTAATTCGATACCACACCGTTATGCCCCATTTCTCGGGATCCATAACTTAACAAAATTTAGGCAGAGTCTCATTTGTACGAGAAGCTCTACCCAAAACGCAACATGTACAATATTGATCACACCGGATCTATCCATCCATTCACAATTGTATAGTATCGAATACTACCGTAATCATCATCAGTACATACATTTATTCGTAAAAGAATAAATGTCCCAAAAGAGTCTCATATACATGCCTTTGTAAATGTAAACAAATTTTTGTTACAAAAGTTATACAAGACCAAAAGTAAATATAAACAAGGGATTACAATGTCAAAATAAGAGTCACAGACCGGCTCTGTCGTCAAAGCGGGCCCATGGCCTCGCCTTCGGTGGACGCCTGTGCGATACCTGAAAAATGTTCCCATAAAGGGTGAGTCAACGCTCAATAGGGTAACTCTTATAGAGAATACTTCTCAACCTAAATGCATATGAAATGTCACACACAACAATCATTTGATGCATTCATTCAAATATGTCTATTATGATCGAATGTCATAAATCATGTTCTGCCATGAGATGAGACTCACATAAGCAATACCAACCCGAGCCTCATCCTGAGCTCCCATAACACATGCAATGTCATGCGTGTGTATCCGGGCATTCAAAGCCCCCATCATTAGTGTTATGTACACTCAATAACTAATTAATTCATTTTCTTGTGTCATTTGTGGGGAGGTGGTTTATGGTATTACACCAATGGGACACCAACCATCAACGGATCTTCAGGACATCTCACCTGTGGCTCCGTTTCTGCCGTTACACTTTTCTAGAATTTCACCGCTGAAAAGTGTATAAACCAAGTAAGCGGGTCTTGCACCCGAGGGGGAATCTAGCCCTTCTTGTTGTCCCCAACACATTTATCCATTTAATTTTCCGTGTGACTCAGTTGAACCTTGATGCAACTTTTTCGAGTCCACGATCAACCACCTACGTGGTGATTGATTTCATACCATGCATACACTCCCACCCATGTCAATACCCATGAATGTAGTGCAACCCATGCATAATACAATACAATGTCCATTACATAATGAATACAATATAATGATATTTTAACACGATCTCAAGCATGTTATGTAAGATAATCAACTCAACTAACATACTTGTATTCACCTAGGCATTTAATCAAACACCTAAAGAGCACATCAATTTACACAACTAGCATGCTATGACTTGCAACATTGACAACATGTTTATTAATTATATAAACATAAGCACAAGTCCACCAAAATAATCATATGTTAAATAATCATTTAACATATATATATTATTTCACAATCATATAACAAGTTAATNTAGTCAAGACCTAACATGTGGTATACACTCATAGCCTACTCATTCTATATGTCATATTTTAAGTTGAAATTAAATCTAAATAGGGGAAACCCTGCCCCTCGTAGCGTGAGCCCACTTACTAGAACGTCAAGAAAGCCCAAATTTAGCTTCCTAAGTTTTTGGCTTAAATTATCGATTTTGATATTCTTTTAGAGAAAAATACGATATTTGGTGTAGTTGCGTAGCTCTCGCTGAGTAGAGCAACTTTAGTTCTTGGCCCGAAGCGATTAAACGGTCCAATCTTTGTAGATCTGAGAAAAAAGAAAAGAGAAAAATAAAAAAAACAAACATTCACCGTTCTTTCTCTCACTCTCTGTCTCGTCGTCTCTCCACAACAAAACCAAAAAGTGGAAGACAAAGTCTTCCACTTATCTATATATATATATATTATAAATTTATTATTATTATTATTTTTAAATTTATATTTTTGACCAATAATTTAACAATTAATTATTATTTTACCTCTTTAATTAGAATTTTTTTAATAATAATAATAATTTTTTTTCGGGTTTTACGCTTTTACAGGCTTGAAGTTTTTAAAATAATCTCAAATTAATGATGCAGATGACTGAACAACTACCATTTTAGCTATAACTTTCTTCTGTGGGCTTACTTTGGTTTTATTTTTTTCAAGAACTAGCATTCATTTTCATGCATTACCACAAACCTATCGAACAGTTTCAACAAGGAATCGCAGAATAGTCCTTTGAAGAATGTGAAAAGACATGCATCCCGCAACAAGGCTTTCCTCGGTTAACATTGGGAAGACATCCAAATATTGATGTTGATTTTCAGTTTGTTTCGGTTATTAGTTTGTCTTATTTTTCTTTTTGCCCCAACTTTAGTTGACATGATTTTTTATTTTTATCTTTCAGCTATGGTTGGACAAAAGTGTTGGTGCCACTGAGTTTAATAGTTTCTTTGTATTTATGTTCCTTATTTTTTTCAGTGTCCGCTTCTGAACATAACTTATTGTCCTCCAACAGAAGTTGATCTCTCTCGTGGAAAAAGATTGGTAAGAAGAATAAGATGGTGATAACTTCCTTCTTCCAAATGCTTTGCAGACTGTTGGAAATAGATTAGTACAGGACTTCGGAAAATAAAAGAACATAATTTTAAGCCTTTTCTTGTAGGAGTTGATATTTTGCACGATGTCAATCATTTGGAATGTCTTTCTTCTGTAGGTTGTGGTTGTCTACAATTCTTTGGGTTGGAAAAGAGAGGATGTTATAAGAATTCCTGTGAGTGTTTTCAATCAACATCTGCCATAATCTTTAGCCTACATGCATTAGAAGGCTGTAACAGTAATTTTCTTAATATCTTTCGACTTTGATAAGTGCTTTCACCATGGCTGTAGTACATTTAATGCTCTGCATGTGAACTGTGAATAGATTTATTGCTTGATTTTGAAATCTTTCTACCACATTCTATACTACAACTTTCATGTGTTGCTTATACTGAGACTGTAATTCAAACATACAGATTCAAATACATGAACAATTGCACAGCTTTTTTTCTGACTAAATAATCAACATATAATCAAGAACTGATGCACATCTTTGCTGTGAAAGCATAATAAGCTTGAGAAATAGAGAGATTTAGTTTTATTTTGAGGAAACTCCATGCTTGTGTAAACATGTATCTATATGTAGTCATTCATGGAACTGTTCATTTGTTTGTGTGCTTTGGAGGAAAGAACTTGCTGAATCTAAATGAGAAGTTTATCAAACTTACTCATCTATATCTTTGTTATAGAAGATGACCAGTTTTTAGTATTTTATGTAACTTGTACTTACATCATAACTTACCACAGGTTATCAATGAGAATGTAACCGTTCGGGATTCCAGTGGAAAAGAAATTGAAGCACAGATTTTACCTGTAGCTACTGCCTCTGTAGCCTTAAGAAACTTCTACGCTGCCGCATATGTGGGTCAATCTCCAAGTGCAGGTCCCTTGTATTGGCTTGCTTTCACAGCATCTGTTCCACCTCTGGGTTTTGGCACCTACACGGTGTCAAAAGCTAAACTGGCAGGTTAACCATCTGATTTCCATTTGCTCCTCCTGAAAAGTTTATTAGGCTCACTTCTTCAACAAGTCAACGGAGTTTGTATTTCCTTTTCCTCCCATGTTACAGATTCAGCTGCCACTTTAGGGGGACAGAAACTGTACAATTCTGCCGCAAGTCAAATTGATACTATTGAAGTTGGGCCAGGAAGTTTAAAGCTTTTCTATTCTAGAAATGAAGGAAAGCTTATTCAGTATAACAATAGGAGAAGCTTGGTATGTTATTTGGCTAATACCTTACTTCATTTTCACTTCATAATGGATGCAGCTTAGTAGAATCCAAACTGAGTCTTGGCACTCTTAAATTTGAAGAAGTCCTTACATTGGCTTTTAGACTTTGGTGAGCCCTTTAAGAAACAGTTTATCTGAAATGAGTTGTAATCCCTACTCCTTATTTTTTTATTAGCTTTTTCTTATTCTTCTGTTTAGGTTATATTCTTTTTCTCAGTCTACCATGTATGTATCATTGGTATATTTGATTTTCACAAGATAAACAACACTTACCTTTGCCATTTTTTCCATTTAAAAATGAAACATATTTTATTGCATCTAATTTGGTGTAAAATTGAAGGTCAAAGCATCAGTAGAACAATCATACAGCAGTTATTCTGCAGATGATGGAAGTGGGGATCTTCAGGTGATTAAACCTTTTCTTTCCTTTTAAAAAATTGTTTGTTAACATCTTGTAGATATTACTATCACTGCATCATTGTTGTAGATTTTAAGTTTGTTTTAACATGGGAAAACACTAATGGAAAGAACTTATGTAACTTGACTTGTTGAAGGCCTCTGGAGCATACGTCTTTCGTCCAAATGGTACTATACCCATCCAAAGGAAAGGAAAGGTATATACTGCCTTCAAATCTTCATGCACATGGCCTATGAAGCACTGGAAAGATTACTCAGGACTTGTTCCTTGAAATTGCAGATCCCATTTAGGGTTCTGGGGGGACCAATATATGATGAAGTTCATCAGGAAATTAATTCATGGATATATCAGGTTATGTCTTTATGGAATTAACATTGAAACCTTTCGATATGCTACAAATTTTGTAGAATATATGTCTGCATTGTGGCAAATTGGCAATTTTGTTGTTAACACACTCGTTTACGTGTCTGACACAGACCACAAGAGTGTACAAGGCAAAGGAACATGCCGAAGTTGAGTTTACTGTAAGTTATGCTTGTGTTTGCCTATGTTCCAGTGGATATGAGAATGGAAACAGTGCACATTAAGGACCTGGAATTTCGTGTTTACAGCATTTCATCAACCATTCTCAATTTCAGGTCGGCCCTATACCTATCGATGATGGAATTGGTAAAGAGATCGTGGCTCAGATTACAACCACCATGAAAACCAACAAAACATTTTTTACTGATTCTAATGGACGTGATTTCCTTGAAAGGGTATGCTGCAAATTCACATATGGTACCACCATTATTTAGTACTCCATCCTATGTGATCATTCATTAGTTGTCACTGAGGTCACCATATACTTGCATAGCTTGCAAAATGTCTGCATGTTTCATTGAATACACCAAATGGTTTTATTTTGCAGATTCGAGATTATAGAGCTGACTGGGACCTTGAAGTGAACCAACCTATTGCTGGAAATTATTACCCCGTATGTCAGAATTAAAGTTGAGAATATCTAAATGTTGTTTGCTCAGTCAGTATCTTTTCTGGTTATAGATATGTATGGTGAAAACTCTATTCAGTAGGTTTATATCTTCCTTCAACCTTATAGACATTTTGCTATCTTATAAGAGCCCATCTAAAAGGTGTCTTATCGGCACTTGTTAAGGTTGAAGGAGGTTTTTGAAGAATGGGAGAACATGGAGTTGGGGGATGGAAGACATGATGGGGAGGGGAATCCGAAAGGAGGATCCTACCGGATGGGGGATTCCACAGGGGGAAAGGGGGTCCAACGGTTAGGGGGAGCTGATGGGAAAGGGAACACGACCAGAAGGGGTCTTGGTAATTACAATCCTAAATGGAGTTGGAAGGGAAACAAAACTGAGGGAAAGGGGTGGACGGATCCCACTTTCTCTCTCTCCCTCTATTTTCTTGTTCGAACTATCTATTTTCTCTCCCACTTTATCTGTCCTCTTTTTACTCCCATTTTGGATTTTCATTTTTTGAATGGGTGCCTTGGGCCCATTAACTTAGGCAATCTTAAAAATGAGAAATGTTTTGTTAGAAACTAGTGAGTTTCACCTAGTAATAGGTTGTGCAAACAATTGTTGTAACCATGTGGAATTAAAAACGAATTTCAGAAAATGATGTGGGACGCACGGTCACCTTCTTCCATCACATGATACGGACATTACCTATGACATTCGAGACGACAAGTGGCGATTTTGTACCTTATAATGAATCGAATGATACAAAAATTCATCTGGTGCATGCTTCTTTTCTTGTCCACTCCCTATCCTCTCCCTATGCTTACTTGCCTGTAAACTTTTTCTTTTTTTTCTTTTGTTTCCTGCATTCTGTTGCCCCCTTTGTACACATTTCTTTTGTTAAGAAGCAATATGTGTTGCTTTCAATTTCCTAATTGTAGAGGTAACCAACGAATGCTTCATTCTCCTATTGGCATTTGTAGATTTTGATCTTCAAAAACATATAAAAAATATACTATGATGAAAAGGACTCTAAATTATAGGCTTGGTATGTATTAGTTTGTGTTTGGTCTCTTTGGCCTCAATTTTTTAATCGATTGTGTTGGATCCTATCGGAAAACTTGTGTTCAAAATTAAAGTAAATTATCTTCATCACTATTGTGCTGCAATTATTTCCCGGAGATGGGATGATATTTAAATACTAAGGAGGTATTTATGATGAAGAAACCAGTGTTTCATAATTATGTGACTTCTTTTACACTTGTCTTGCACACACTATATTTATTTATTGATGTTAATGGAGTTTTCGTATGCCACTCATCAAGCAAGTTAGTATCTTGAAATTCACATACAAGGTTTTCATTTGTTTATTTTTCTCTCAGATCAATCTTGGAATGTACATGAAAGATGACGCCACTGAGCTCTCAGTCTTGGTGGATAGATCTGTCGGGGGATCCAGCATTTCTGATGGGCAATTGGAGCTGATGCTCCATAGGTTTGTTCTCCCCTTCCATTGTTGTGAGAAGAAGTTCATTATATTAGGCATCATGGAATTGCTCAGTTTCAAGATAGATAATGTGGGTTGTCCCTTATTGTATAGGAGATTGCTTCGTGATGATTCCAGAGGAGTTGCAGAGGCACTAAATGAAACAGTTTGTATTCATGATGAATGCTACGGATTAACTGTAAGAATAATCTTTGACCAATACTTGATTGACTAATTCTCTTGTGGAATTTGAGTTCTGCTTGAGATCGGTTAATATGACTGTGAAGCTGCTAGTTTAAATAATGTTTTGAATGTTGTATTCTACATGTGCCATCATTAACTTTCTTCTGTGAGTAAAAAATGAGGTCGAGTTGCATTTTGAACACTACCTTAGGAGTTGGGAGTTCTGATATCTTTCTTTCTACTTGGTTTTCTCTCATTAGACCTATTTTTAGAATCAAAATTTGTGGCCATAAGAAACACTTTCCAGGAGTGATGGTTGGGGTATCTATGTAGGCAGGTAATACTTTTTAGTTATTACTCTATTGTCTGAACGAACATTTTGTGTTGTTGGTAATGATACGTGTCTATTACTTTTTTGCATGTGTTTGTGGCCTGTATTTTCTTTGAATTGACGGTCATTCACTTTGCATTTGAAATGCCGATGGCTTGGTTTTGCTAATGGTGAAACTATTTTATGCTCATCTATTTTGCATTTAAGATGTTAATCTTTATTTTTAAGTTTTTTAGTTTATTGCAGAAGCCACAATTGCTGAATTAACATATTTCTCGCAGATTCAGGGGAAATTCTATTTTAGAATTGATCCCCTTGGAGAGGGTGCCAAGTGGCGTCGGTCATTTGGTCAAGAGATATACTCTCCATTTCTCTTAGCCTTCACTGAGCAGGTGAATAAGAAAAACTTGAGGCAATCTTGTTATCTGTGCTGTGAATCATTTTGTCCCTAATTGTCCTTATTACAACAGGATGGAGATAAATGGACAAATTTCCAAGTGCCAACCTTTTCAGGGATGGCTCCTTCCTACAGTCTACCTAATAATACTGCGATGATAACCCTCCAGGTATGCATTTGTTCTATTTTAAGTCGAAATTGTGAGGGGTTCCATAGGTTGATGCCATATTGATAAAGCAAAAATGGGGAGTTCTCAACTTATTTGATTTTTTTCCTACTTACATTTCTTTTGAGTACTGCAGGAGCTTGAAGATGGAAAAGTTCTTCTTCGGTTTGCGCACTTATATGAGGTTTTTTTTTTTTTTGTTTTGTTTCTTTCACATAATCACAGAAAGAACCTAGTTCCACCTTGAGTTTTACATTATATCTTAGGGGAAACCCTTATTCTACCTAAGGTTTCCTTGGGAAAAAAAGGTATACTGGTGTTATTATTTCTCCTTTTTATGCGAAAAATATCCTCAGTTGCCACAACTGTTTGGCTCTCTGCATCATCATATTTTGCTAAAACTTCTGCAAATACACAGTCAAATAATTCATGCCTTTTTCTTTTCCTCTTAGCATTACACCATTGAACCTTCGATCGTTTGCTTGTTCTTCTTCATTTTTTCTGCCGTTTTCTAGGATTTTTGGCTATTTATAAATTTTATTTGTATTGATTATCATAATGTTGCATTTTAGGTTTTTTTCTTTGGATAAGTTTCAACATTTTATCGAATTAATTTTCCGTATACTACTTGGCTATTACCAATTTTAAAACTAGAAAACCATTCAGACTGTTGAATTATATCATATCACAGTTAGCACTTGGGAATTGTCCGGAAAATAGTGATTGTATGTCAAAGTTATACTATTCATATGGCTTCAAAGCATTTCTAATTTCCTTATGCATGATTATTACTAAACGTATCATCAAAAGATATAACCAAAAACAATTTCCCATTTTTTTTAGTTCAGATGCTCTAGAACACTAAGTTTTATTTACTTATGCGATTCCAGATTGGGGAGGACAAAGATCTCTCGGTTATGGCAAGCGTAGAATTAAAAAACCTGTTCCCATATAAGAAGGTGAAGCAATATGCATTGCAATATTTGAGACTCTTTATTTATAATCATATATAATCATCGGTTCTTATACTATTTCCTTTTCAGATAAACAAAGTCATGGAAATGAGCTTATCTGCAAACCAAGGAAGAGAAGAAATGGAGAAAAAAAGGTTGGTTTGGAAGGTTGAAGGCTCTCATAATGAAGAAGCCAATGTGTTAAGAGGAGGCCCGGTCGATCCTATAAAACTGGTGGTTGAACTTGCTCCAATGGAAATTCGCACCTTCATTATTGAGCTCAGTGACAAATCGGCTACTACAAGGTAAGAAGGAAAAACTTGAGCTCAAATTAAGAGTAGAACCCCGTATATATATCCAAAAATAATACAGAGTGACTTAAACATCCTTGTAGTTTAGGCAAAATATAAAAATCATAGTAAGGGTAAAAAAGGAAAAAGAAATCCTAATAAACCTAGACTATCTATACTCCAACACTCCCCCTCAAGCTAGGCGCAAAAATGTCAACTAAGTCAAGCTTGACAACGGAGTCCCGAAGAATAGACAGAGTGACAGGTTTGGTAAAAACATCCGCAACTTGATCACTGGTCCCCACAAACGATGGAGTAACAAGACCACTGCTGACCTTCTCCCGAAGAAAGTGAACATCGATCTCTATATGCTTCGTTCTCTCATGTAGTACAGAGTCAGAAGCGAGCTGAATAGCAGATTGATTATCACAATATAATGTGGATGGAGAGGTCACTGAAAAACCCAACTCGTCAAGAATCGATCGTAGCCAGATAATCTCACATGTGCCAAGTGCCAATGCCCGATACTCTGCCTCTGCGGACGAGCGGGAGACAACTGCCTGCTTCTTGCTCTTCCAAGAGATAAGATGAGTCCCTCGAAAAGCACAGAAACCCGTAGTAGATCGACCATCACATGCTCCCCCATAATCTGAATCTGAATAACAGGCTAGAGAACCGGTCTGAGATCCTGATGCATAAAACAACCCAAGTCCAGGACAAGACTTGAGGTACCGAAGAATATGATAAACTGCATCAAGATGAGGCTGACATGGCCTATGCATGAACTGACTAACTCGGCTGACTGCGAATGAAATGTCCGGCCTAGTATTGGCTAAGTAGATAAGTCTACCTACCAATCTTTGATAAACTGTCGGATCTTTCAACTCCTCACCTTCAGCAGTAAGCTTCAGGTTTGGAATCATAGGTGATGATGCCGGTTTGCACCCCAACATCCCAGTGTCTGAAAGAAGATCCAAAACATACTTTCTCTGAGAAAGAACAATACCTCTGCTTCTACGGGCAACCTCAATCCCAAGAAAGTATCGCAGAAATCCAAGATCCTTCACATCGAAGGCCTTCCCAAGGTCTATCTTGACCTGCGCAGTCCCAGAAACATCATCACCAGTAATAATAATATCATCAACATATACCAGAAGGATGACACACTGTCCAGAAGTATTCCGTCGAATAAAGCAGGTATGATCAGAATGACACCTGGTGAACCCCAATCGTATGACTACATCACTGAAGCGAGAGAACCAGGCTCGTGGCGACTGTTTCAGTCCATAAAGAGACTTACGCAGTCGACATACCTTTCCAGCATACTCCCCCTCACCACGAAAGCCCGGTGGTGCATCCATATAAATAATCTCGTCCAGATCACCGTGAAGAAACGCATTCTTCACATCTAATTGATGAAGAGGCCAAGAGTACTCCGCAGCCAGAGAAATAATTAACCGAACAGTAGTCAATTTTGCCACGGGGGCAAATGTAGCACCAAAATCACGACCTGGTACCTGAGTAAAGCCCTTCGCCACAAGTCTAGCCTTGTAACGATCAATAGTACCATCCGCAAGAAACTTCAGGGTGTAAACCCAGCGACAGCCAACAGGCTTCACCCCTGAAGGTAAGGAGACAAGATCCCATGTATGATTACGCTGAAGAGCGTCCATCTCTGTCTGCATGGCAAGAACCCACTGGGGCTCCCGCATAGCTTCCGAAATAGAGCGAGGAACCAGCGTATCTGATAAGGCCATAGTATAAGCTCGAAATGTGGGAGACAGATTACCATAAGAAACATAAGCAGAGATCGGATATAAAATCTTGGCGGTCCAACCATATCGATCAACTGGACGGCGATCACGCCTTGGATAACGACGCCCTAAATCACCATCCTCTACTGATAATATCTTATCAGGTAAAGTAACTGGCTCAGCACCTGTAATCTCATCAGTACTAACAACAGGTGCATCAATATGCTCAACAAACTGAGAAGTATTACCTGCATCGCCTGAGGTAGAGGGGATATCAGCAGGGTGATGAGAGCGAGGACAACGAGCATACACCTGCAAAGGAAGAGAGACTGGTAACTCTGTACTGACAGGGATGAGTGACTCCTTTGGAGGAAAAACGGATGACCCTGTAGGGATAGTGATCAATGACTCTGACTCTTGTGGTAATGGAAAATCAAAGGGAGTATCATCAACTGGAGGGGCAGACAAAGGACTGAAAGGAAAATAAGGAATATGCTCAAGAAAGGTAACATCTAGACTGTGATACATACGACGCCTAATAGGATCATAACATCGATACCCCTTAGATTGATGACAATAGCCCACAAAGATACAACGAATCGCTTTATCATCAAGTTTATGACGAGTAGGAGACCGATCCTGAACAAAACATGTGCATCCAAAAACACGAGGGGGGACCGGAAAAAGTGTCCGCTCAGGAAATAAGACCTGTAAGGGAGCCTTATGCTGAAGAACACGACTCGGCGTACGATTGCACAGAAAGGTAGAAGTCAAAACAGCAAAATGCCAATAAGATTTTGGTACCCTCATGCCTCTAAGCAGACAACGTACCATCCCTATCAAACTCCTATTTTTTCTCTCAGCAACACCATTTTGCTCAGGAGTATATGGACAAGTGAGTTGCTGAAGGATACCCTGAGAAGAAAGGTGAGACACTAAAGCATCAGACACATATTCTTTGGCATTATCCGAACGAAGAGCACGAACAATGACATCGAATTGTGTCTTAATCATCTGTAAAAACTGAGTGATTATAGGGAGCACATCAGACTTCCTATGCAAAAGGTAGACCCAAGTACAACGGGTATGATCATCTATAAATGTCACATAATATCTGGCACCTGACAGAGCAGTAACGGGAGAGGGTCCCCAAATATCAGAGTGTATTAGGTCAAATGGCTTGGGTGACTGGTGCATGCGAGGAATATAATTGGCCCTAACATGTTTTGATAGGGAACAGATAACGCAATCAAGTTTACCACCAACACAAGCATTACTCAAAGCAGGAAACAACATACATAAATATTTAAAATTTGTATGTCCAAAACGGTCATGCCACAATTGAACAGTTTGTGACGAAAAATCATAACGACAACTACTAGGTAAAATACTAGCATGCAAGCTAGGAACAGAAAAAGACAAAGCAGGTGCAGGTGAAGGAATTGGTGAAACTGGAGATGGATTGCCAAGATAATACAGTCCATCTTTCTCATGTCCCTTGATAATAATCCTCCTGGTACTCAGGTCCTGCAAATAACACGAATCAGATAAGAATACAACCGCACAGTGAAAATCTCTGGCTAACTGATGTACAGATAATAGATTCATGGCCAACTTTGGCGCATGAAAAACCGAATGTAATGTAAGGCCATCTGGGAGACGGACTGTACCCCTACTAACAATAGGGGCATGTGTTCCATCTGCTAACTGAACCTGTGTATGTAACGGCTCGTCAAAAGTGGTGAAGTGATGGGCCTCACCTGTCATGTGACCATTCGCACCCGAGTCCAACATCCAAAGGGGAGATGAACTGGCACAAGCGTGAAAGGCACGAGATATACCTGTAGTGGTGACAGCAGCAGTAGTCAGACTCTGAGAAGTCAGAGCAGACATAAGTATATCTAATCGGGAAGTGATAGCATCCATATCACTTTGCCAAGGAGGAGCAGTAGCAGGAGTGGCGGTAGTTGGCGGTGGTACCTCAGCAATAGCAACAGTACGGCTGCGAGAAGGTGGCTTAAGCTCTGGATGGAGCTTCCAGCAAGTAGCCCTGAGATGTCCTGGTCGGCCACAATAATCACATTGACGGGAATCCCCCCGTCTGCGCTGATCTGGGGCGCCCTGACGGCGCTGGTCTGAGCGTTGCCCATCCCTGACTAAGGATCCTGAACGGGACCCTACAGCAGCTGCAAGGGCCATCTGGTCAATCGAAGGAGTCAAAGCTGCAACTGGAAGTGATGCAATACGGACTCGACGCTCATGCTGCTCAATCATCCCATACACCTCATAAAGAGAAGGAAGTGTCAACATCGACAAGATCTGAGAACGAGGTCCCTCAAACTCATCACGAAGCCCCATAAGGAACTTGTGAATCCTATCCTCCTGCTCTCGAGTATGCAAGAATGCTGCTCCCTCGGGCTCTATCTTCGGAATAGCAGCAAGAGGACGTAGAGACTCATACTCAAGCCAGCGCTGGGTCAAATAGCCATAATAATCCTGAACGGTCATATCTCCCTGCCGAGCATATGAGAGCTCCTGAGAAAGCTCATAAACACGAACTCCCCGTCCTGACTGAGAATACATCTCTGATAATGCGCTCCATAGCTTCGGAACAGAGCTATGAAACTGGTGGATCCTGCAAACAGAGGGCTCCATTGAGCCAAATAACCATCCAAGAATGACACAGTTTTCAGAGAACCACGCAGAATATCCAGGGTCGGCATCAGCTGGCTTTGGGTGAGATCCCGTCAGCCAACCAAGCTTCCCTACACGGCCTAAGAAAAGCTGGAATGAGCGTGACCACTCAGCGAAGTTACGACCATTCAACAATTGTGCCGTAACTTTTTGAGAGATCATGCCCGGTAATGCTGGTAATGCAACTGTGCTAGTAGGCACTGTATACTGGTCAAACATAAAAGTGGAAGTACCCATAGATGTCTCAACGGTAGAGGTGTCAACAGTAGGGTTCTCAAGTCCCTCAGTAGTAGCCATATCAACAACAGTACTAGGGCACCCGTGACAGAAAAATAACTCTAAGATAAATAGAGGAATAAAATAAGGGAGAACAATATACCTTCAGTCGAACAGTAGCGACAAATAGGGAAGGTCCAAAAAACTCCCAAATAATCAAGTCACGGTGCCCAGAAATCCAAAATATATAAATAAGTGATCTACTGCATCAAGAGCAAATCAACAACCCCTCATAAAAAATCCTAGATATAACAGTGAGTTGGGTTTATTGGTTGGCAGTGGGCTAGGTATGTATTTAATATGTTGGTGGGGTGTATGTTGTTTCGGCTGGGCTGTGTTGGGTTGAGAATTGTTTTGGGTTGGTTTGATGTATGTTGGTTGTCGGTGGAGTTTGATGTAGGATGGGCAGTCGGTGAACGGTCAGTTGTGCAATGGGTTCAGTCGGTGGACAGTGTGTTTCGCTTCAGTCGGTGGACTGAGGCTATTCGCTGGATTGTGGCTGTCGCTGTTTCGGTGTTGGCAGTTTGTCGGTGATGGGCAGTGGTCTGTGTGGTGTTGGCAGTTTGTCGGTGTAGGCTGTTCAGTTGGTCTGGGCAGTTGGTCAAGGTAGTCGGTGAATTTGCTGGTTTGGTTAGGTGCTGGCCAGGGTGGTTTTTGTCGGTGGGTTGCTGGTCTGAGCAGTCGGTATGGTGAGTATGGTGGCCGCTGAGTATGGTGGAGGTTAGGGTTAGGGTTAGGGTTTGAGTTTGGCTCTGATACCAACTTGAGATAGTTGTGAATGAAAAGGGATACTCAAATTAAGAGTAGAATCTCGTATATATATCCAAAAATAATACAGAGTGACTTAAACATCCTTGTAGTTTAGGCAAAATATAAAAATCATAGTAAGGGTAAAAAAGAGAAAAAAAATCCTAATAAACCTAGACTATCTATACTCCAACAGAAAACATTAGTCTAATCTATTTATTGTTCTTGTTATTTAGATAGCTGCTAGCTGATGGATTAGTCACAAGACTCACAACTTGAACCCAAGCCTGTTGCTATCAGAAGACTGTTATCTTAACAACAAATGCTTGGAGAATGCTCTACAACTGTATATGAATAAAGGCTATCATGCCCTTGTCTGTTTTTGTTCCCTCCCCTGAAGCTATTTATGCCCCCCCCCCCCCCCCCCCCCCCCCCCCCCCCCC